CATCATTTGAATTTGAATATCTCTGTGAAGACTATCTCCAAATAAGGTCACATTTCAAGTACTAGGGTTAGGGTTTCCACTTATCTTTTTTGTGGAAAATAAAATTCAACCTAAAATGTGTTAAAACCACACCAAATGGGAAAATACAAGTGAATTTTTTAAGGAAGTTCTTTTCCCCCCAGCTTTATTAAAATATAATTGACATGGGGCGCCTGGGTGGCTTAGTCGGTTAAGCGTCCGACTTTCGCTTAGGTCATGATCTCGCAGTTCATGGGTTTGGGCCCCGCGTCGGGCTCTGTGCTGGCTGCCAGCTCAGAGCCTGGAGCCTGTTTCAGTCTGTGACTCCCTCTCTCTCTGACCCTCCCCTGCTCACGCTGTCTCTCTCTCTCCTAGAAATAAAAACATAAAATATATATATATATAATTGACATAGAACGTTGTGTAAGTCTATGGCATATAATGTAACAATCTGATATATACAAACATACGTTATGTAAATCTAAGGCATACAGTGTAACAATCTGATATATGTAAACAGGGTAAAATGATTGCCATGGGAAGGTTACTTAACCGCTCATCACCTCACATAGGTACAATGTGTGTGTGGCTGGTGAGAACTTTTAAGCTCCTCTGTCTCAGCAACTTTGAAATATACAACACAGTACTGTTAACTCTGGTCACCAGGTTGTACCTGGCACCAGAACTTACTCATCTTTAAGTGGAAGTTTGTGCCCTTTGACCATCTTCTCCCGTTTCTGCCCCTCCCCCCTTTCTGGCAACTCCTCACCTCTGTTACTATTGGGGTCCACTTAACTATTTTCTGGCTGTTCTGTAGCTCCCTAGCTCCTTTCTTCCCCTCACTGCCTTCCGTAGTGAAATGACGATTTTCCGCAATGCATGCTGCGATTCCCTTCTCTTTCTCTTCCGTGAATGCACCCTAGGTTTTGCTTTGTGGTTACCACAAGGCTTACATAAACCACCTTACAGATAACAGCAATATTACAGATTACAAGTGAACTTGATCGCATTCAGAAACTCTACCTTTTCACGTCCTTGCCTTTTTTTTTTAATGCTTATTTATTTTTGAGAGAGAGACACACAGAATGCAAGTGGGGGAGGGGCAGAGAGAGAGACACAGGATCCAAAGCAGGGTCCAGGCTCTGAGCTGTCAGCACAGAGCCCGACACGGGGGGCTAGAACCCAGGAACCGTGAGATCATGACCTGAGGTGAAGTTGGATGCTTAACTGACTGAGCCACTCAAGCGCTGCTACAGTTATTTTTTAAAAAGTGTTTATTTTGAGAGAGAGCACATATGTGCACAAGTGGGGGAGGGGCAGAGAGAGAGGGAGACAGAGGATCAGAAGTGGACTTTGTGCTGACAGCAGAGAGCCCGATGCAGGGCTTGAACCCATGAACCAGGAGATCATGACCTAAGCCAAAGTCTGACGCTTAACTCAGTGAGCCACCCAGGAGTACCGCCGCCCCCCTCCCCCCATAAATCTCTGCCTCATTTCGGAAGGACAACTCTGCCAGGGAGTATTCTAGGCTGGCAGCTTCTCCTTCTGGATACACTGTGCTGCTCTGTCCTGGCCTCGAAGGGTCCTGCTGAGAAATCCGCAGGCTGCTTTATGGAGATAGTGGGTTCATTACCAGCCTCTTTTCTCTTGTTGCTTTCAAACTTCCCTCTTTGTCCTTGACTTTTGGCAGCTTTATTGCAATAGGTCTTGGGAAGGATCCCTTCAAGTTGAGTTTGTCTGGTGATCTATGAGCTTCAGGAACTTGGAAAACCAAATCTTTACCCTGATGGGAAGTTCTCAGCCATTCTTCCTTTTTTTTTTTTTTTTTTAATGTTTATTATTTAGACACAGAGCGTGAGCAGGGGAGCGGCAGAGGCAGAAGGGGACAGAGGATCCAAAGAGGGCGCCTGGGTGGCTCAGTCGGTTGAGCATCCGACTTCAGCTCAGGTCATGATCTCATGTTTTGTGGGTTCGAGCCCCACAGCGGGCTCTGTGCTGATGGCTCAGAGCCTGTTTCAGATTCTGTGTCTCCCTCTCTCTCTGCCCCTTCCCCACTCATTCTCTGTCTCTCAAAACTGAGTAAATGTTAAAAAAAACCAAAAAAACAAAGAGGGCTCTGTGCTAGTAGCAGGGAGCCCGATGTTGGGGCGCCTGGGGGGCTCAGTCAGGTAAGTATTCAACTTCAGCTCAGGGCATGACCTCACAGTCCTTAGGATTCAAGCCCCGTGTAGGGCTCTGTGCTGACAGCTCGGAGCCTGGAGCTGCTTCGGATTCTGTGCCTCCCCCTTTCTCTGACCCTCCCCTGCTGGTACTGTGTGTCTCTCTCTCTCAAAAGTAAATAAACATTAAAAAAAGAAATGAAGTGGCAGTCACCCCTCTGAGCTTCACTAACTGCCTTTGGGATGGAAATTCTTCCCATCAGCCCTGCTAGGGATCCTGGGGCCATCTTCCACCTTCCATGGATGTGCTCCCTCTTGTGGCTGAGTATTTTAAAAAACTTTTAACGTTTATTTTTGAAGGACCGAGAGAGACAGAGCAGGAGCAGGGCAGGGTCAGAGAGAGAGGGAGACACAGAATCTAAAGCAGGATCCAGGCTCTGAGCTGTGAGCACAGAGCCTGACACAGGGCTCGAACTCACAAACTGCGAGATCATGACCTGAGCCGAAGTTGGATGCTTAACAGACTGAGCCCCCCGGGCGCCCTCTTGTGGTTGATTCTTTAGCGCACTTCTATGCCTTCTCTTCACCCCAGAATGAACCAGGTTGAATGCTGACAGCCTTCCTTTTGTTCCCCAAAGGAGGTGCTAAAGTTCAAGTTGGTTGTCTCTCCTTGGCTCTCGGGCCCATTATCTGTGCGTGCTCACTGATTGCCAAAACTCACTGTCATTGCCATTGGGAGTGCACACAGGGAGCTGGCCACACAGTGGGGGCGTGTGTGGGTGAGGTGCTCGGAGCACTTGGGTGCCAGCAGGCCAGTGGGGACCTGTGGGCAAGGGGTCCCTAGTGGCGCGTGGCGGGCAAGCTTCTTGATGGCAGTCTGCAATGCAGATGGTAGTGTTGGGGTCCCCTTCCTGCCCCCTGTACTCCTGACTTTACTCTGGAAGGGGCTAGGGAGACATGCGTACCTTTGGCAGTATCGACCTGGACTCCCACGAAAGCTCTTCCTTTGGCGGCTGGGGTGGGGGACTGTCTAAGCTGGTGTTTTCCAGGGAATCCCAGACCATGGCCAAGAGAGGGTGGAGCCACTTCATGACGGCGCAAGCCTCATGGCTGGGACTGAGGTCCGTGTGCCTATTACCGCGACGCGGGGGTGGGCGAGACTCTGGGTTCCTAGGCGTTTGGGGCTGGGCCCCACAGTTCCCATAAAGGTGCTCTGTCCAGCGACAGAAGCTAACTTGTTGCTGGGTGGGGGGCACAATGAAGGGCATCTTATTCAGCCGCGATGCTGACACCCCCATGTTTTCACGGGCATTGTATTGAACAAAGCACCACCAGATGGCTTCAGGGACCTGGACAGTTTCAGTCAAAAAAGGCCGCTGGGCCCCCAATTTGCTAAGAGCAGTAAGAGTGTAAGAGCTGCTCAAAGGGCACATTTTTCAAAGCGATCAACAGGGTGCCGGACAAGAGCGATCTCCAAGGGGACAGAGGCAGAAGTCATGTTGAGATCTAGCCTAGGAAAGTGCTCCCAGCAAGCAGGACTCCGCCTGATCAGAGACCACTCCCTACTCCGGTAGGCCTGCACACATGGTCCCAGCAGAGTCAGGAATTGCTGTGGCCCAGGGATCGCTCTGCACACCCATTCCTCCTCTTTTCAAATGCAAGTGTTCACTGTGGCTCCCCTTTCCCCTTTGGCCATTGTACGCTGTGTGGGGGCAGATAACCGATGTGTTTAGTTTATAGGCCTGTGGATCAAGAGGAGCCTCGTCCCACCGAGTATAGGTCACTAGACCTGGCACTTTGAGCCTGGCGCTGGTAGCGCGTGAGACTTCGGGGAATCTCAGGACGGTGAGCGCATTTCTGATGGCGAGTGGGAATAATTGGGCCAAAGGGTAGACTGTAGTAGATTTAACTGCAAAAATGGCATCAGTTCTCCACCTCTCCCTCATCCAGGTCCCTTTTTGTTTTTATTTACTTATTTTTGGGGGGGGGAGAGAGAAAGAGAGAGAGGGAGAATATCTCATGCAGGCTTCCACCATCAGCAGAGCCCGACTCAGGGCTCAAACTCATGAACTATAAGATCATGACCTGAGCTGAAATCAAGAGTCAGACACTTAACCAACTGTGCCCCCCCGGCGCCCCCCATATCCAGGCCCTTTGTAATGTGACTTTGCAACTGCTATCACCAAGAGGGGGAGTTTATTCCCCCCCTTGGATCTTTTTACCCTTGTGTTGTTTTTTTAAAAATGTTTTTAAATGTTTTATTTCTGAGAGAGATACACACACACAGCGTGAGCAGGGGAGGGGCAGAGAGAGAGGGAGATAAAAAATCTGAAGCAGCTCCAGGCTCCGAGCTGTCAGCACAGAGCCCGAAGCGGGGCTCGAACCCACGAACCCTGAGATCATGACCTGAGCTTAACCGACTGAGCCCCCTTGTGTGTTGCTTTGGCCAATAGGTTGTGTCAGAAGCAACAGCGCACCAGTCCCCCATGTGGACCCCACAAGGCCTGTGGGCTTTTTCTTGAATGTGCCCGCCATGTAAACAAGCCCCAGTGGCCGCCTGAGGGATGACACAGAGACGAGCTGTCCCAGCCCATCCTAGACCAGCTCGTTCCCTTCCCCCCAGGAGGCAGCCCCCGGGCACATGGGCAAAGACCAGGAAAACACTGGTGCCAGCCAGCACCAGAAGCAGCACCCAGCTGAGACCAGACCAAATGGCCAGCCCACAGAACTGTGAGCTAAATAAATGATTACTGTTTTAGGCCACAAAATTTGTTATGTGTTACTTGTTATGTATTTACTATGTATCATTATGACAACGGATAACAGACACAGTTACTAGTAACAGTTACTGTAACAGTTACTGTCAACACAGCAGGCTCCTTGGAGAAAATTACCAACTTAATGGTACAAAACCAAATGGCTCTCCGTTTTCATCCAAGCTGTAAATGATTAACATGCTCTCCTTGTTTTGTACATTTCAGAGAGGTTATAACTTTAGTAGCTACATTAACAACATCAAACCAGCCAAATTATACAGAACCGAAATTTGAGTTGGGGTTTTGGGATAATATGCTAAAGACGTTAGGTACTAAGATATCAGCACGTCACATTGATGCTGAAATAGTGTGCACGTATAGACAGCAGGAATGATGGGGGGGGGGCCTGGGTGGACTCGGAGGGGGCGTAGGCTCCGGCCCCGCGGACGCGCCGACGCCACCCGGGACGCGGGTGGGGAGCTCACACGCACCCACCTCTGGAAGGAGCGGCTATGAAGAGCCCAGCCGGTACCGGCAGGACCAAGTCCCCAGCGGCAGCGGAGAAAGATCCAGAACCGGCCCTGCCCAGTGTGGAGGCAAGGAGCAAGGCTCAGCAAGCGAGCATTCCCACCGCCCGAAACCGACCAGCAACGGACCCTGGCCCGCCGAGAGGTGAGGGGGGTGGGGCGGGGGGGAAAAGGAAGCAGAAAACACCTTCTGCGCATGCCCAGGGCCTCCGCCGCCGCGGGGGCGGGCCGGGCGTTCCCTCCGCGGCGCCCTGCGTGACGTCATTGTTCGGCGCCGGCAGGAAGTGGCTCTCGGCGGCGCACGTGGGGGGTGGCGCGGCGGGCGGGCGCATGGCGGGTTCGGCGGGGCTGGCTCTGTGCGGGCAGACGCTGGTGGTGCGGGGCGGCAGCCGCTTCCTGGCCGCCTCCACTGCGAGCAGGTGAGGGGCTGGGGCTGGAGCGGGGAGCCCGGGTTGCCGGCGCGCGGTGGGGCCTGGAGGGCCCGACCCCCTCACGCCTCCGGGGGCTGTGCCCGCACTGGGGGGGACCCCGGGCGAGCCGCGCCCTCGCCGCCGCCTCTGCCCGCGCCTCCTCTCAAGACCCGCCCTCGGCCTGGGGCCCCGTGCGCTTGGCCCGAGCGGCGCCGGGCGCTTCAGGTCGCTGCCCGGGCGGGTCACGTGAGGTGACGCGGGCCGGGCCCTGACTTTTGCGCGGTTTCGGGGTCGTGGCCACACCGGCTCTGGGGCCCGACGAGGAAGACGGCCTCTACCCCCCTCGTGAGGGGTGCCCTGCTCTCGGGGGACGCGCTGGGACGGAGTCCCGGGCGCCCTCCTCGCGCCTCCGTCTCTTTGTGGGCGCCTGCCCCCTGGCCCGCAGCCGTAGACCCCGCTCTTGTTCTTCGGGGGCTCCGGCCTTACCCGCCACCGCGCGCACCTCCCCTGCGCCCCTTCACACGGTCCTGCTTTTGCTTTCCCTGACTGCACGCACCTGCTTACACGGCACCCGGAGATTTTTTTTAGCAATAAGTGTTGATCAAATAGTCTTGCCCCAGGAGCCTCATGGGTATTAATGGTCATTTGCGGCCCCTGTTCCTTTCCTAGGGTAGTTAGGATTCAGAATAGAAACAGACGGTGTACTCTCCGCTAAATCCATTTCAGTGTTAAATTCAGTTTTCATAAAGAATTTGCTGATAAGCCTGTGGTACATTCCAGACTATTTTGTTTTGGAGACTCCTGGTGTCTAACACATGGTACTGGGAGACATGGGTTTATTACCCTTGCTATGCTTGCTTTAGTCTATGCCTTTTGAGGGAATGTGCTGGTGGCAAGGTTTGTGCCATGAAGTGATCTACGCTAGTGTTTGGTGGAAGAAGAGTGAGTGCAGTCACTTTAAAGGCTGTGTCTTGTCTATGCCGCGCACTGGAAGGGGGGCATGGGCCTAAACTGAATAGAGCTTAGGGTCTTGAGGGAAGATGGGTGGTGACTCTGATACTGGCAGGTGCTTGGCAACCATGGGAGCTTTCTTGGGTAGTTGAGACTTTTTTAAAAGGTGGCAGTTTTATTTATTTAAAAAAATTTTTAAAAATGTTTTACTTCTTTCTGAGAGAGACAGTGTGAGCAGGGGAGGGTCAGAGAGAGAGGGAGACACAGAATCCGAAACAGGCTCCAGGCTCTGAGCTGTCAGCACAGAGCCCAACGCGGGGCTCAAACCCACGAACCGTGAGATCATGACCCGAGCCGAAGTCGGACGCTTAACTGACTGAGCCACCCAGGTGCCCCTAAAAGGTGGCAATTTTAAATTTGCATGCAAGAAACTCCCCCAAAAGCATCAACATAATTTCTTCTGACATAACCGTCTTGGACTGATTTTCTTTTTTTCTTTTGTTTGTTTATTTTGAGAGAGGGGGCCAGGGAGAGAACATGAACAGGGGAGGGGCAGGGAGAGAGAATCCCTAGCAGGCTCCACACTGTCAGTGCAGAGCCTGATTGCGGGGGTCAAACTCAGAAACCATAAGATTATGACCTGCACTGGAATCAAGAGTCAGACGCTTAACTAGCTGAGCCACTCAGGCGCCCTGATAGGACCCTTAATTTAATGAGTATGAGATTATTTATGTTCCAGGAAAAAGCCTGTGTTTTTATTAATAAAGTGCTTTTTAAAAAATCTGTTTTTCCTTAGTGATGATGACATCCTCTTCACATATGACTGCAGTACGGCAGCAGAGAAGGCCCAAGAAAGTCAAGGGTGAGGTAATGGGGGAGCCTCTTTAGGCCTGATCATGGCTGGAGTTATCGGGACAGGGTAGCCTGAGAGGTTAATTGTTGTCTTACTGAAGTCTTCATTTCCTTTTTCTTCTCTTTTTTTTTAATGTTTTATTTATTTTTGAGAGAGAAAGTGCAAGCAGAGGAGGGACAGAGAGGGACAGAAGATCCAAAGCAGGCTCTGTGCTGAGAACAGCAAGCCCCACGTGGGGCCTGAACTCACGAACTGTGAGATCATGACCTGGGCAGAAGTTGGACGCTCAACTGACTGAGCCACCCAGGCGCCCCTGAATTCTTCATTTCCGTTTATCCTGCTGTGTGGATAAACCAGGTACCACCTCAGGAAAGAAATGTGGAACTAACTTTTAAGTTTGGCATTAAGGATATTAGGATTTTTCTAAGTATTTATAATTAGTTTTTCTCAGTAATTAACTCTTTCATGGTCATCTTGAAATACAATGGAGTTTTAATGTTTTATTTTTTTATTTATTTTGAGAGAGGGAGAGAGAGAATCCCACACAGGCTCTGTACCCTCAGTGAATTTGAGGCTCTGTACCTCAGACTCACGAACCTCAAGATCATGACCTGAGCTGAAGTCAAAAGTCAGATGCTTAACCGACTGAGCCATCCAGGTGCCCCAAAATAGACTGGAATTTTAAATTCCTTGAAGGCAGGTGTATGAAGTTAGCTTTTTAGTTCATTGAAAGAGAAGGAAAGCAGAATGTGATAATTTTGTATGGCCTTTTTTTTTTTTTAGTAGAATTGGTCTTGTGGCTCATTTTTAAAAAAATATGTAGAATCCTTGGCAGTAGTCTTAGGTCCCTTCATGTCCGTGAGGGAGTGGGTCACGTGATCTCTGAGCGTCTTTCCAGTTCGGCTCTTTGGATTCTGGTGTGTGTGCTGAGTGATTTTTTTTTTTTTTTCCCTGTGTAAGTAGGTTTATTCCTCAAAAATTGCAGCTGTTCTGAACCTCCCCCGTCCTCTTGATAGGTCTTTGTATTCTGGTTATGTGACTCTCCTACCATTTCTATCTCTGTTCGTTTCCTCGATGGCCAGGGCTAGCCCGCAGGAAAGCAGCCTCGCTGACTCACGTAAGCCCTAATCTTCCTGTGCTCTGTTCCTCAGGGAGGCCGGGCAGCCCGCGGATAAGGGGAGTGACACGATTCTGGCGGCCACCTTCTCCAAGTCCGGCAGCTATTTTGCTTTAACTGATGACAGTAAGCGTCTGATTCTTTTCCGTACAAAACCATGGCAATGTCTGAGTGTCAGGTATGAAATGCTAACATTGAATAATTATGATGTTGAACGCACCGCTTACTTGCATGCCCGTAGCAATAGCGACAGTGACCTAGTAATAAGCAGCTCACACATAGTGTCAGCTCTGTGCCAGGTGCTGTTTTCAGTGCCTGACGCGTGTTAACCGATTGAATCCTCAAAACAGCCCTATGTAATGGCGGGAGGGGGGCTTGCTCTCAGCCACATCCTGGTCCAGGGTTTGGAAACCGGTCATCATCAGCGCAGAGAGCAGAGCGGGCCTTGAGCCCGGTCACTCTGGCTCCGGAGTGTGTGGCCCTGGCCGCCGTGGCGTCCTACCCTCCCGCGCTCCAGCCTCGAGGGGCCACAGATGAAGAATATCAGCAGCGCCCTGAGAGCGGGAGGCGTCCGTGCCACCCATGAACTTGGCAGGGTGTAAAGTTAGTGCCCTGATTCCTGAGTATGTGAAGAATGTGTGGGAGCTTGGTGTCGATGGGGGAGGGTGTCCTTCGGCCTTATTTGTCCCTCTGGAGGGCTCTGTCACTCCCTAAAAGGGAGGGAGCAGTGCATTCTGATGGCTTCCTTGTTTTGTGACTTCGAGGGCTTAGAGGAGGTGGGTGATGGTGACACAGCCCTGGGCATGCTTAATTGCTGCTCCTACAGTGGGGGTTCTCTGCTTCCTCCAGCAGGAGAAGCCTGGGGTCCTTTTGATGTCTGTGACAGGGACGGAACCCCCACCCGGAGCAGAGCCAGCCTCTGTCCCCTCCTCTGTGCCTCCCCGAGGCTGCTCGGCTTCACTGTCCTCTGACAGGAAGGGAGAAACAAGGGAATTTATGTACATGTTGAACTATCCAGCAACTAAGGTTAAGGGATTTTTTTTTTTTTTAATATTTATTTTTGAGAGAGAGACAGAGCATGAGCGGGGAAGGGGCTCCAAGCTTATGATCCGAAGCAGTCTCCAGGCTCCAAGCTGTCAGCAGAGTCCAACGCGGGGCTCGAACTTCTGAACTATGAGATCATGGCCCAAGCTGAAGTCAGTTGTTTAACTGACTGAAGCCCCCCCTCCCCAGGCGCCCCCAAAGTTAAGGAATTTCAGTTGGTAACTGGCTCATATCTGTATTAGGGACAACTCCGCTTTTTATTTTATTTTTAAAAAAATATTTATTTTATTTTGGAGAGAAAGTGCACACACATGCACGTGTGAGAGGCTCAGAGAAAGTGGGAGACGGATGATCCAAAGCAGGCTCTGTGCTGACAGCGGAAAGCCCGATGTGGGGCTCGAGCTTATGAACCCTGAGATCATGCCTGAGCCTAAGTCAGACACTTGACCGACTGAGCCCCCAGGTGTCCCTGACAGCTGTGCTTTTTAGAGACCTGTTTCATCTTATTTTCTAAGAGAAGAGCGAAAAGGCAAATTCCAGGTGGCCCTCTACCTTGGGGTGTGCACCCCTGCTCAGGGTAGCCCTGCCCCCTGAACTCGGGGTGCCAGCCCGCTGTGTGCTCCTTGACTGAAGGGCAAGTCCCGTGGCCCCGGCCATTCCCGAAGGGCTTGTGGCGACTGCATGTCTGGAAGGAGGAATCTAGAACTCTCTCTTCAGTGCCGGTGGGCCCCTGCGGCCGTCGTGCAGTCAGGGAGTGCAGGGCGAGGTCTCTGGAGTGTGAAGCCCCGGGGTGGGTGTTCAGGTACAGAGGGGGGTGTGTGCGTGCGCGTGTATGTGTGCGCTCGTGCTGGGGCTCCCTCCGCACTGTGGCTTGTGGGTGTTTGAGGGGAAGGTGCTGTGATTTTGTTTTGTCAGATTATCTTCATGTGACAATCTAGGAGCCCGCGGGGTGGGCAGTAACATGTCAGTAGGCAGTGTCTGGTGTCTGGTTTTCTTTCCCTCTTTAATTATATTTGGGCTCTTGGGTTTTTTATTTTTTACTTTTTTTTAAATTTGAAAACTTGATTTTTGGCTCTTGGTTTTTATGTTGATGCCAACAAATAACTGTGCTGCAAATGTGTGCGTTAGGTGTGCAGGGCCCCTTGCGTCGTGCGTAGCAGATGGCGCTTGCTGGGAGTTAGGACACTGTGGAACCCCGTCCCTTCTGCATCAGCCACGGAGTGAAGGGCATGGCCTGGGTCACGTGGCGGTCCCAGGGTCTGTGTTTCTCACGTTGCCTCTTCCTACGGATTTTCCCTGAATGCAGCACAAGGTGTGGTGCTGCCTGGTCCAGGAGCCATTGCGCAGGGTGGGGGTGGAGGGGGCATGGACCGATGGGCCCCTTCCTCAGAAGAATACCATCCTTGACCTTCAGATCAGTCTTGGGAGTGTCCTGGACTCGCGCATTTGACCAGGACTCGCTCACAGCTCGGAGCTCTCCAGCAGAGGGTTTTGGGGAAAAGCCCAGATGGAAATCGAGGGCAGCAGTGATTGTTTTAAAGGTTTCTGTTCAAGATGACAGAGGCCTGGAACTGAGAACAGGTTTTCTGAATCCAAAATGAGGACACTCGGGGTGACACGGAATATTTGGTGAGAAATGTTATGTAACACGTCCCACGATTTCGGGAGGTATGTGTATTGAAATAGTACAAGTACGCGCAGAGGCAGCGCTCCGGGAAATGAGATCGTGTGCTCGAAGCTGTCTGGCTGCTGGAGGTGTGTGCTGTCGGGGGGCTTGGCATCCTCAGGGCGCTGCAGGGCTTGGCGCGGCTTTCCGGAGGGGGCTTGGGCGGGCCCCAGCCCACAGGGGCATCCTAGGGCTCAGCTGCCAGAACAGGATAGTGGCCCAGGGGTGGGGCCGGGCTGGCCTTGGGGCTGTGAGGACAGGAACACCCTGCTGTGCACCCAGTGACTCTCTGGAGGGAAAGGAGAGACCCCGAGGACAGGTGGGGCAAAGTGGCCAACCCACCGTGTCCTGTCCCGTGACCTGCCCCCGCAGCCCCTCCATCCGCTCTGTGCGTCCTGGAGTCCTTGCGAAGCCTGACTTAGCCTGAGAAGCTAGAAGCCCCCCACCTGCTGGCAGAAGACTGAGGGACAGGATTGTGGAGCTGGGCCGAGTGGGAAGCGGGGAGGTGCTGGGGTGCCCGTGTGAGTCCTGCAGGACCGGCCCGGGCCACCGCCTAGGAAGGGGCTGCGAGGCGGCTGCGCAGTCCCCCGTTGGGACGCACCGAGGCGGCGTGTGAGTCGCAGCGGTGGGAGGGTGCTGATGCATCTTGCCCGGGGCCTCCTTGTCTTTTGTCTGGTTTTCTCCACGTTTCTGTCCTCACTCACCCTTCCTAGCTCCCCTGGCAGGCGGAGGAGGAGGCGCGGCTGCTGCTGGTGGCCCTCGGCCCTGCATTTTCTGTCCCTTGGTCCCTCTGCCCCCGAGAAGCTGTGTCCTCGCTCGGTTCTCGTGTTGGAGACGTGGCTTCTTTGAGTTTCCGTTTCCGGCTGACATGTGGAGCTGCGGCTGCAGGGAGCCGGTAGCCGAGGGGTCCACGTGCATCCCCTCTGGGGCAAAGGGGGGCGGGGCCGGGAGTGTAGGTTATGTCCGTGTGCAAAGCAGTGGCGCAGGTGGTACCTAAGAGAAGCAGAAGTGCGGTCCTTGCCGTGTGGCGGGCGGGGGCAAGGACGTGAACCGGGAGGGCGGGGGGCAGGGCGGGGGAGCTGCAAAGACCCGTCCCCGAGAGTAGGCAAGACGCTGGACGACCCGACCCCAGATGAGGAGGCGTGTGTGCGTACGTGCGTGCGGCGGGAGCCGTAGTGTTTCTCAGGCTGGCACAGTATTGAACCACCTTCCAACCCCCAGATGTGACCCAATTAGGTTTGAATGGATGAGTGTGTGAACTTTCGTGCAGCCTGACCCGGGGCTTGGACCTTCCTGGCCGCGTGCCGGGCCACGCCTGCGGGAAGGGGAGGCCGAGAGGTGCCGCACACCGTCTTCAGGCTGTTATGCCCACGCAGGAGCAGCGCGGGTGGGGTTCCCGCATGGCAGGGCCCCAGGCAGGGTGTGGAGTTGGTGTCCTTGCGGACGCCCCCAGGGTGGGGGCCTAGTGCTGTGTGTGCCCGTGGTTTTGCCCAGAGCGTGTTGGCTGTTTTGCGCAGCTGACCATTTCCTTCCTCAGCACGCGCAGTAGGGGTGTTGGGTTCGAGGAGCAGGTCCCCCAACATCTGTTGGCTTAATGTTCAAACACGCAGCAAACCGAGAGGACCTCGTGCTGGACGGCTAGATATCCACCACCCCGATCCTCCGTCACGAAAGCAGACATACCGTTTCACAGTGAGATGTTTCTAGGACATTGGCTTTGTTTCCGTCTCTTCGTTGCTGTGCGTTTTTGGCACCGCCTTGGTACCTGGGAGGGGAGATGCCGGGCGAGGAGCCGACGCGTGTCTGAAGAACGCACGGCTTGCAGGCCTGTCGGCCCTTCACGTGCTGACCGTGCAAGCCGACCGTGGGCGTCTCTGGCCTTCCAGGACCGTGGTGAGGAGGTGCACGGCCCTGACCTTCACGGCCTCCGAGGAGAAACTTCTCGTGGCAGACAAGTCTGGAGACGTTTACTCCTTTTCGGTGTTGGAGCCACAGGGAAGCGGCAAGCTTGAACTTGGGCACCTGTCGATGCTGTTGGATGTGGTACGTGGGTGACGTGCTGCAGTCAGGTGGGGCAGAGCAGGGCGTCTGCGAGCCCGGCTGGCGGGGGTTTCGGTTCAGCAGTAGCGCTGCACACTTGAGGGCTGGTGGGCAGGCGGCCTTCAGGAGTGGGATTTATTAGGAAGGTGAAGCAGACAGCGGATGCAGACGGGCCGGTGAGGAGGCATCAGGTGGGCCCAGAAGTGAGGGACAGCCGGGTGCGTGCCAGGTGGCGGGGGCGTGGGAGGAGCAGGCACGATCTCCAGGCCTGAGCTTGTTCTTACCGGCCTCCGTGCCCTCCAGCCCCTCAGCCATGCGCGGCCCCACCCAGGGGCCCAGTGAGGGCTGGGGGCCGCTAGTGGCAGGTGGGGCTCGGTGGGACCCGAGGCCATGGGGGGGGACAACGAGGGAGGGGTCCTCGAGGGAAGAACCACCGGGACTTGGTGACTGGGTGGCCACGGGGACACACGGAGGAGGGAGAGGAGGGGGAGCCGGGGCTGGAGGCCGAGGGCTGGTGCAGGCGGTGTGCGCGTGAGGACGCCTGGTGGCGAGCGGCGAGCGGCGAGCGGGTCCTCACCTGCAGGTCTGTCCCTTCTCACCACCTGGCGCAGGCCGTGAGTCCCGACGACCGCTACATCCTCACCGCCGACCGGGACGAGAAGATTCGGGTGAGCTGGGCAGCGGCGCCGCACAGCATCGAGTCCTTCTGCCTCGGACACACGGAGTGAGTCCCCTTCCTGCCCCACGGCGGGAAGCTCGGGGAGCAGGGCGCCGGCTCTGCGGCCGGGCCTGTGGGAGAGGGACCGCCCCGCGCGTGCAGTGCTGCCCAGGGCTGTTCCCTGGCGAGGCCCCGTTCGGCACTTGCTTCTGTCTGGGGCTCCGGAACCTTCTCCTCCTCCTTCCCTTCCCTTGTGTTTCGGGGACTGGTTTTCTGGTTGGCACTGGGGTCTCAGGCTCCAGCGCGAGGGCACTGCAGATGTTGGTGGTGACGCTGCCCACGGGAGCCAGGCTGGCACTCGCTGTGCGAGGCCTTTCCTCCAGGCCCGCCGCCTCCCGCCCGTGAGCGCCCACCAGTGGTCCCCAGGCTGGCCTCCAGGCCAGGGCCTGTTTCTGGAACACTCCTCAGCACAGACATGTGCCCAGCGGTGGTTGAGGCGTGTGTGTTTGGGGGACATACTTTGGTAAATTGAGGAGTCCAGGATTTTACTGGTCTCTGAACCTGGGCAGTGGTGTTACCTTTGTGACCTCTTTTCTATGGCAGGTGAGGTCTCTTCCTGGAATTGCATTTTGATGTTTTGGAAGGGAGGCATCTCTGATGAATGCCGCTCTTCTCGGGGCCAAGGCTAAATACAGTGTGCTCTCGGGAGAGCCTTTAGTTTCATTTGCTTCAGTCTTTTGTTAAAAAAAAAATTTAAAAAAAATTTTTTTAATGTTTTATTTATTTCTGAGAGAGAGAGAGACAATGAGCAGGGGAGGGGCAGAGAGAGAGAGAGACCAGAATCAGAAGCAGGCTCCAGGCTCTGAGCTGTCAGCACAGAGCCTGGCGTGGGGCTTGAACCCACAAACTGTGAGATCATGACCTGGGCCGGAGTTGGACGCTTAACCAAGTGAGCCACCCAGGCGCCCCTAAAAATAAATTTTTTTTAAAGGTTTATTCTTGAGAGAGCGCATGCTCGCACAACAGAGTGTGAGTGGAGGAGGGGCAGAGAGAGAGAGGGAGACACGGAATCTGAAGCAGCTCCAGGCGCCAAGCTGTCAGCACAGCTGTGGTGTTTTAAAGTACGTTATTTGATGGGGCGCCTGGGTGGCTTAGTTGGTTAGGCTTCCGACTTTCGCTTAGGTCATGATCTCGCGGTTCGTGGGTTCGAGCCCCGCGTCGGGCTCTGTGCTGACTGCCAGCTCGGAGCCTGGAGCCTGTTTCAGAGTCTGTGACTCCCTCTCTCTCTGACCCTCCCCTACTCATGCTGTCTCTCTCCTAGAAATAAATAAAACATTAAAAAAAAATTAAAAAAAAAAAAAATAAAGTACGTTATTTGAGGCCACGGAAGACAATGGAATGATGTAACTCAATTCTGAGGTCTCTCCCATTTCCTTGATTTTGAACGGGGTGTAAAGAGTGACCTCTGAGAAGGTGGATGGTACCCGGGTTTGTAGCTCCCGACAGCTCGTTGGGCTTTGCTGCAGCTCTTTAGTAATGCAGCGTCCAGGGTTACACTTGCAAGGCCTCGGGCCCTTACTCTGTTGCTGTTTCTCAGTGGGGTCTGCTGTCCACCTGACCCCACCTAGCACACTCCTGCCCCAGGACCTTTGTATGTGCTGTGTTTGGTCTTCCCACTTGGGAGAGCTGTCCTCCGGGCTCTCTTCTTCTTCCGTGTCCAGCTGGATGCCACCTGCCTTCTCAGGAAGGCCCTCTTCCCTCATCCTGTCCTGCTCTGCTTTGCTCTTAGCCTGCACTGTGCAGACAGGAACCACGAGCCTGGGTGTCGGAAGTAAAGTATGCTGTTAGCGTAAAATACCTGATTTTGAAGACTTCGTACGAGAAAAGAACAGAAAAATAGCTTGTTACTAATTTTTCGAGTGTGTGTTGAGGTGGTAACGTTTTGGGTGTTACCAAGTTGAAGAGTAGCATCAGGGGCTCCCGTCTGTGTCTAACTCTGAATGGGGTCCCTCGCGAATTTACGTGGCATGGCTGGTGCCGTGCTTCTGTTGGGCTGTGGCCGGCCCGGCTCCGCCGGCTACCGGAGGGACGGCCTCCATGGGCTGTGCTTGCTGCTGCCTCCCTCCCTCAGCACAGTGCCTGGCACGCAGCAGGTGCTCGGCACGCAGCAGGTGCTCGGTAGTAGTTCAGTGAGTGTGTAAGTGGTAGAAGTAGATGAAAAAAATATTAAGTCCTCTTTGCAGCCAGCACGGGGTCGAGAAGTCACAACCCTGAAATTCAGTCGCACATTCCGCCTGCTGACCCAGCCGGGCGCCCCGCGTACTAACAGGTTTTTAGGACTTTGGTGTAAAGTCTGTGGAATCTGGTTTCCACCCCCTTCCTCTCGAGTCGTGGGTGTGAGTCCCGGCATCTGTGATGGATTGTCCTGTGCGGGGGGAGTGCTGGGGACCACCGTACAGCTGGCGGGAAGGCCGCCTCCCTCGCAGGGCGGGCCGGGCCCCACGGCGGGCTTCTGGGGACGGCAGGCTGAAGGACGGTGGGTCTGGGTCTGCCTGCCGGCCCACGGCTCCCATCGTCACGAACCTGCAGGGAAGGTCTCGGCTGTGGCGGGGCAGCGGGAGCAGCCGCATAGAAGCTCCTGGACCTTTCCAGCAGCGCGGCTGTGGGGAATAGGCCAGACTGGGGAGCAGGGCCAAGGTGGGGAGCACAGGGTGGGGAGCACGGCTGGGCTGGGCTGAGCCACGCGGCTCCGGCCTGCAGGCTGCTGTGCTGTTGGCCCTGAGAAAGACGCGCTGTGCGCCCCCAGCTTGCTCAGCACTGTCCAGCTCCCTGTGGTCCCTCCTTAGCTTTCGCTGGGGCTGGGGGGGTGGGGGGGTGGGAGATGGCCTTGGGGCAGGCAAGAGAGGAGAGGGGCGGGGCGGGGAAGACGGACGATCGTGGGCCGGGCGGATGCTCCAGCAGCGCCCCGGAACTCGGCTCACCCTCTGCTTCCCTCACTGCAGGTTCGTGAGCCGCATCCTGGTGGTGCCCGGCCACCCCGAGCTGCTGCTGTCCTCCTCCGGGGTGAGTGCGTGTGGTGAGCACCGTGGGCACCCCTGCAGGGGCCGTGGGGCTGGGGGCTGGGGCCGGGGGCTGGTCCCGGGTCCTGCGGCCACCAGCTCCCCTTTTGCTCTGTTGTGCTCTTGGTCTTGGCTGTCGTCCACTAGGTGGTGCTTGTTTCCCGAATTTTGGCGCTGACCCAGGTCGGCTCCCTACGGGCTTGCATTCGGGGGTGTGTGTGTGCGCGTGCGTGCATGTCTGGCTTGCCTTGGGATGTGTGTGTACGTGTGTGCGCGCGCACGTGTGTCTTGCTCTGGTGTGTGCGTCTGTGTGTGTGTGTATGTCTTGCCCTGGGATATGTGTGCATGTGTGCGCACGCGCGTGTGTGTCTTGCTCTGGTGTGTGTGTCTGTGTGTGTGTGTCTGTCTTGCCCTGGGATATGTGTGCGTACGCGCGTGTGTCTTGCTCTGGTGTGTGTGTGTGTGTGTCTGTGTGTGTGTGTGTGTGTCTTGCCCTGGGATATGTGTGTGCGTGTGTGCGCGCATGCGAGTCTTGCTCTTGTGTGTGTGTGCGTGTGTGTGTGTGTGTGTGTCTGGCCCTGGGATGTGTGTGCGTGTGTGCGTGTGCATGCATGTGCACCTTGCCCTGGAACGGAGTGTGAGCAATCGGTTCTCAGGGCTGTCATCACACCTGGAATAGCACTGTAACCTCAGGTACAACAGTCCCCGATTCCTGGGGGCACCTGGGTTCCCCCGACTTACTGCCCCACTTCACCTTGCCTGTCCCTCACCCTGTCCCTCAGGGGAGCACCTAGCCTCAGTGGGGGGTTTGACTAGTAGAGAAAACTTCTCTGTCCGGAAGGTGGGACCTGAAGATCATTCAGCCATCAGAGGCTTTGCTCTGAGGAGGAGTTTTTGCTCGAGTGAAGGTTTTGAGATACTGATGGCATCTGATTCTTCCTTTCTTTCCAGAAGCCCTGTCCTGTCCCACCTCCTCTCTTTCCTGCCCCTTAGCATTTTATGGGATGGGTGCCTGGGCTCCTGGCCCTCCCGCGCCAGCGCTTGTGGCCAGGAACCCGGCTCCCCGCCGCCTGCAGACCCCTGGCCGCCGTCTGTGCGGCTGTCCTTCGTGCCTTCCCCACGATTGTGTTCTGGTTTCTGACTCTGTCCCCTCCTGGCCCCCCGGCTGTGCTCGGTCCTGTGGGAGCAAAGGGAAGGAGGCAGGTATGGCCGCAGTTCTTTTTGTGGCTGGTTTTGTGAGCTCTGCCGGGCCTGCACCTGCCGGTCTTTTCCGTAATGAAACAAGCCCTCAAGCACGTAGAAACGTACAGCGAACACCTTCGGTCTGGGCACTAGCTCTGCCGGGTCCCGCGGGTTGCTTACGAGCCTGTTTGAAGATGCGGGAGAGCACTGCTTGCTGCGCGCCCCACCCCGCGCAGAGTGTTATTTTTTTAAATTTTTTAAATTAAAAAAATTTTTAACGTTTATCTTTGAAAGAGACGGAGTCAGAGCACGAGCTGGGGGAGAAGCAGAGAGAGAGAGAGAGGGAGGGAGACACAGAATCTGAAGCAGGCTCCAGGCTCTGAGCTGTCAGCACAGAGCCCGACGTGGGGCTCGAACCCACAAACCGTGAGATCATGACCTGATCCGAAGTTGGACGTTTAACCGACTGAGCCCCCCAGGGGCCCCTAAAGTTTTGTTTTTTAAGGAATCTCTGCGCCCATTGTGGGTCTCAAACTCACAACCCTGAGGTCAAGAGGTGTGTGCTCTACTGACCGAGCCAGGCCGGCACCCCTGGTTTTGTTGTTATTAGAAACACATACTTACAAAGTCAGATTCTGCCGTGAGACCCACAGTGACAAAAGGCAGTGGCTCCCACCGCCCCCTCGAGGTGCCCCCGGCTCTCTGCCCTTTTAACTCCCACCCCGAGTGTCCGGAGAACAGGGGGGATTGAGAAACACGAGGCCACACTTTCCCGTGCGCTCTCCTGCCCTGTGTGCGCTGGCTTCGCCTCCGGACCCACCCCTCGTGTTCACGTTCTGTGTCTCTCCGTCCTGGAGGGGAGCATCTGAAGGTGGTGTTAGGAGTCCGCCTTTCTGCAAACACTCTTAATCCCCATGACTGGTGGGTAGGTGGGTATCGGAACTCTGTGTATGCGTGCGCGGGGGTTGTGTGCCCATGCCCGTGTGTGCCCATGTGTGTGTGCGTGGGGTGTGCGTGTGTGCCCGTGTGTGCGTGCTTCCAACTCCAGCACGGCAGCCGTGGTCTGTGATGTCGGTATGTGACAGGTTGTCCTGTGTTCGCCCCTTTTGCCACGTGGGGGCCGTGTGTTTTCCTAGCGGTTGGCGCGACTGCGAGCGGAGGGCCTGGGCGCCACGCGCGCGCTGACCTGTCCTTGCTGTGTGGCTGTGTGCAGGACCGCACGCTGAGGCTCTGGGAGCACCCGAGCGGCCGGGAGCTGCACTGCTGTCACCTGACCAGCCTGCAGGGGCCGGCGGAGCCCCCGGCTGACAAGGTACCGACCCACTTCCGCCTCGGGCTTATTGGAGCCTGTGTGCGCCCCTCCAGTCCCGGGGCCCTGCGGCCGGGACCGCCTCTGCGTTGCAGACAGATCTTGGCCGTCAGCGCAGACGTGTCCCTGCCTGGGAGGACTTGTGGCCTCGAGGTGCCTGGTCGTGTCCGGAAGTAACGTAGATTGCAGTTCATTTGCATTCAAACACCCACTTCACAGAAAGGCCTCCCCCAGTCCTGCTTGAAAGTGGGAAGGAGGTGACGCTTGAGCAGAGAGCTTTGCTCCTCATCTCTCCCTTTGTCTGTCCCGGATTAACCTCACGAGCACCCCCATACCCCTGGGACGACACGCTGGCCAGTGCATCCTGCGGTCAGGTCACCTGGGCCTTTGATTGTAAGAGATTTTCAGGGGAGGGTGTGCGGGTGGCCCTTCGGGGGGTGTGGGGGGGTGTGAGCTCGTGGGCACCCGACCCCATGACGCATCCAGGCTGGTGCCCTGCACGGCTGAGGTCCAGGTTGGTCACCTGGGGACACCGGCTTTCCCGGGGCCCTGCTGGGCCTTGCAGGGCGGGAGCAGTGTGTTCTCGTGGCCGCTCAGGCCTGCGGAGCCCGTGTGGTCACTGGAAGCCTTGCCCTTCCCCAGGAACCCCTGCGTGGCGCCCGGGCAGCCTGCGGGAGGCCTGCGCTGGGAGCGAGGGGCTCGTCTGTCTCATCCTCGGGCTGCCTGCTTTCTCCTGTCCCTCTGAGACTGCTCCGTAGCTGCTGCCCTTACCCCGCCCAGAGCGGCCGGCCAGGCCTGAGCACGGGCCAGAGCCTCAATGACCCCTCTGGCCGTGGCCTTCCAGCCACGTGGCTGCAGCGGACTCTGCTGCTCTGGCCACCTGCTCACCTCCCATTCTGGTGTCTGCAGCCCCAGTGTCTCCCCTCGGAGGCTGTGGCAAATAGAGGGTGATTTTTTCCGGTAACTTCTTCGTATTTGTGCTCTCATTGCACCTTCTGATGCTCTGGGACAGTGAGGTGGAGAGAGGACTGTGACCCCGCGGGTGTCTGACCTCACCATCTGCAGGGGCTGTGGAGCGCCCCGCCCCTCAGGCTCCTGACCTCCCTCCCTGCAGATCCCCCTCCCACCAGACAGCACCCTGCCCCTCAGTGTCCTCACCTCCCTCCCTGGAGCCCCGCCCCTCAGGCCCGGTTGGTGAGTCCGGCTTTTCCTCCGTGCCTTCTCTGGCATCTGGATGTCTTGCTACCGTTGTGTCTTGTCAGTAATTCTTTGTGTGTTTTTTTGTTGCTCTCTGGCCTTGTTTTTTAATCAGTTCTGTTGGCTCTGGAGCCTACACGATGGCTCTGGAGGGGGGGCCAGAACCATGGAGGGGCTTCTCCGGAGGGTCATGGCATGTTGGAATTGTGAAACGGGGAGCCGGTCGGGTCTTCCTTTTCTCTCACTGCTTTCCAGAAAGTTCAAGGGCTGTTTTCTCTTTTTGTCCTCCTTGGCTGTAGTGGTAACTGTCAAAGCCTTGCTGCGCCCGATCTCACTTTGAGCAGAGTAGCCTGGAGTCGGTCCCCCGCAGGCTGACGGGCATTTATGTTGCCGTGTTCCCTTGCAGAGGTTTGCCGCCTCCAGGATCGCGTACCGGAGCCAGGACAGCTGCGTGGCGCTGCTGTGTGACTGGTGAGCTCGCGCGCGGGCTGTGGGCCTCCGGGGTGGGCGGGGGGGAGGGGCCCTGCGGGAGGAGGGGGGGCCCTGCTGTGGGCCCTCCTTTACTTGCTGCTTGGTTCGCCGCCTCCGGGCTGCAGCCGGCCTTTCGTGCCTGAGGGAATCCCGCCTGACGGTTGTACACAGTTGTAGAGCGCACTCCAGTCAGCCCCGCCGAGGGCCGGGCAGGCGGGATAGGACCCGCTGACCTGCCCGAGGGGTGACCCAGCGCTGCAGGACAGGCTGACCCGGGACTTAGCGACTCAGACTTGCGGCACCTCCCCGAGCCCAGGGCTCTCGGGTTGGGCGGGGCCCGGCTAGGTGCTTCGGGCTGAGCCTTGCACGAGCTTGCAGCCTCTGAGCTTGCAGCCCAGAGGCGGGCTGTGGCTGCGTTGTCTCTTCGGGCTGATCTGGGCGCGGTGCTAAGCTGGCCGTGTTGAGTGATAAACCCCATGGGCCTCGTGGTGGCTGCAACCAACTTCTCTCTCTCTCTGTCTGTCTGCGGGAAGCATTCCCGTGGTCTTCATCTTCCAGCTCGACGCCGCTGCACGGCAGCTGGTTTATAGACAGCAGCTGGCTTTTCAGCACCGGGTGTGGGACGTCGCTTTCGAGGAGGGCCGCGGGCTGTGGGTGCTGCAAGACCGCCGGGAAGCGCCCCTGGTGCTCTGCAGGCTCGTGGGCGGCCAGTGGCAGGTGAGCGGGCGTGGGGGGCGTGGCAGGGGTGACGGCGGGGCCCCTTTCCGGCTCGGCAGTGTCTTGGTGCTGGGGGCTGTGTCCTTGGGGGGCGTGGCCGGAGGGTTTGTGACGTGGGTTCCCTGCGGGGTGCCCTGCGCCAGCTGTCAGGTCATGACACCTGCACTGCTGTTTCCCAGGGTGCTGGCCGTCATTGGCACGTTTTCCTTGTGATTGTCCTCATCGCACGTCCTTTTGGCAGAGGACCCAACAGTTGATGTGCTTTGGGTGTGTGTCCTTGACGACCTTGCACGTGGGCCCCTGGACTTGGGGCAACCACGTGTGGAGAAGGTGTGGGCTGTGGGATGGGTGACGTGTGAACCTGGCATGTCCTCTGAGCGGGCTCCCAGTCCGGGAAGGGGGACTGTCCCTGCCCATCCCAAACCTCCTGGGACCCGCGGAACGAGGCGAAGCAGCCCCAGCCCTATGCAGGCTGTCCAGTCCCTTACGGGTGCTCACTGACCCAGGGCTTTGGGGCTGCCCCGGCCCTTTCGGGCGCCTCATCCACAGAGTTGTGGCGAAGGGAATGCCCGCAGCTGGAATGTGTCGGTCTGCCGGGCTCCTCAGATAAGGCCACACTCAACGAGCCAGTGCGGAGGGCACGCTGGTGGCCTCAGGTGCCGGGTCTTCATCCCGACGAGATGTGACGATGGCCATGTCTGTCGCGCCAGCACAGTGGGCTGTGTTCATGCGACGGCTCAGTGCGCCTCTCACTGTTGTCTTCTCAGGCTGCTCCTGAAGACGCCGCGGTAGAGAAATTGTCCGCCCACCTCCGGGGGAACTGGGCCATGTTGGAAGGTGAGAGCGTGGGCGCAGCCTGCTTTTAAGGGTGACGTCCAGAATCGGCCAAGGGCAGGTCACCGGGCGCGGTTCACCGTAGGATGCCGCTGTGCTGGGCGGGGCACGGTGTGGCATGCATCTGCGTACCCTCCAGAAGGCAGCGGCTGGTCACGGCTCCAAGGAGCTCACCCGCACTTGGCGGGAACGCTCGGTGTGAGCCCGGCCCCGGACCGCGAGCTGCGTGGGAACTAGGGTCACAGTTGGAGCGAGGCCCCCCTTTGCCTTTAGGGCTGCCTTGCAGGTCCCCAGGGTGGGGCCAGTACCGGGTGGTGTCAACTCAACGGGCCTCGAATGAGCGGTTCCTGGCCGTGAGGTCAGGCGTGGGGACGGTCACTGGGACTCCCGAGGGTCTTCATGGCCCAGCGTGGGACCCGGTAGGAGCCCCAGGCCGAGGGATGGGGGTAGGCCGTGGTGAGAAGCCGCCCTCCCCCCACCCCCCAAGCGGTGCTGTAGCCCGTGAGGAGGGTGGCCGGGGTGTTGGAGCGGGGGTCCTGGCCAGGGGACGGGCTCGTGGTGAGCGTTGAGTGCTGGCCTCACTTAGTCCTGAGAATGTTACAGGAACAAGGCAGTGCTCCATTCTTTTTTTTTTTTTTTTTTTAATATTTTTATTTATTTCTAGGAGAGAGAGAGAGAGAGAGACAGCGTGAGCACGGGAGGGGGGTCAGAGAGAGAGGGAGTCACAGACTCTGAAACAGGCTCCAGGCTCTGAGCTGGCAGTCAGCACAGAGCCCGACGCGGGGCTCGAACCCATGAACCGCGAGATCATGACCTAAGCGAAAGTCGGACGCTTAACCGACTAAGCCACCCAGGTGCCCCAACAGTGCTTCATTCTTATCGATAGAAGAAGGCAAGCTCTTAGTTAGACAGCTTCTGGAGACTTCATGGTGCTTTTCTGGGGCAGAGACTTGAAGCAGCCACGTCAGAGGGACAACTGCTGGCCAGGCATTGGGACTCCGGTGCCTCATTTGAGTGGAGGGATTGTGCAGAAGCCCCCGGCGAAGCCTTCCCCAGGGAGGAGTCAGAGTTCTTGGAACTCGAGGGGCCCACATGTAAATTCGGTTTCGGTGATACTGGTGGCGACCTGTAGTGCCATGGGAGGCGTTCTCATGGTGATTTGTGGGCTCTGTGTCCGTCCGTCCTTCCTTTTAGGGTGGAAGGGCGAGGGCAGTGCCGGGGCTCCGTCCCCCCAGCCCTGTCAGGTGGGTCTGTAGCAGGACCGCGTTGGGGACGCTGCCAGCCTGGTCCCCGCCTGACACTCGCCATCCCCCTGCGGGGGCCTGGATTCCCCGGGAGGGCCAGGCCCAAGGTGGGCTTAGTTTTCCTGAAGTTCTGCAGATACAGCAGCCTGCTCACAGTGCAGGTGTGGGGGGAGGGTGCCGGGGGGGGGGGGGGGGGGCGGGTACGCAGAAGGCAGGCCAGCTGAGCGTGGAATGACAGGCCCTGTGGGGTTTCTGCCCCGGGTGAGGTGGACCCAGTGGGGCTGGTCAGTGGCTTTCAGGCTCCTCAACCTTTGACACTCGGATCGGTCTGCGTCTGTTACGTGGCTGCGTAACAGGTATCCCATCCTCAGTGGGTGAAGACGGCAGCACTTCTTTCCTGGCTGCTCGCGTGGGTGCTGAGAAGCACGGGTGCCCCGAGGGCGGGACCTGGCTTCGGGCGCTCGCACGGGCTGCCTGCAGGTCCTGGCCCCTGCAGCCGCTGGCGGAGGCCGGCGGGGACCCCTGCGGGGCGGCTGCGGTGTGGCGGCAACCACAGCCCCTGCGCCTCGTCTCCCGGCGACGGCCCGGCTTTGGCGTGGTGTTAGAAGCGAGTCCTGGGTCTGGCTGGTGTGGCCGCTGGGAGATAGGCGTTGCAGGGGCGGCTCGGAGCACGTGCCGTGGGTCCCCCGGGAGCTCCGGGTGGTGGCGAGTTACCCCTGCAGCAGGGCCCCGGCCGCCGGCCCACCCGGCTTCTGTTCCCGTTCCTCCTGCGCAGGTGCGGCCGGCGCAGACATTGGCTTCAGCGGGCTCTACAAGGCCGCCTTCGACAACGTGAGCGCCTACCTGAGGAAGAAGGAGGAGCGGCTGCAGAAGCGGCGGCGGGCCCTGGACCCTGGGCCCCAGGGGCAGGCCAAGAGGCTGAAGCTGGGGGAGGCGCCCCTCAAGTGCCCATCCTAGCCGCCCGGCGTGCCCGCGGCCCCCATGCGCCAGAGCTGGCTCTGCTGCCCCCTCCCTGCCCGCGGCTCCCCCTAAGAAATGGGGACATCCTTGCGGACCCACGCTTGGTGGCAGTTAGGTCTGCACCAGATCTGCACCGGCTCTGCACTCGCATGGGCTGTCCCAGAGAACTGGTGGGTATCCTGGGCTCTAGAACCTTCTGCTGTCAAACAGGCACTTCTGCCTGACGTCTCGGGCCCCCTTCTGGTGAAGGGAAGCCCTGTGGTGTGGCGCTCAGCCAGAGACACACAGGTGAGCAGTGCCAGCGCCCTGAAGCGCTGTTTCTTTGTGTCGGGGACATCGGAACCCGTAGTGAGCGTGGCAGCTGTGAACCCTCTGCTGTTCCCGGAGCGCCAGACGCTTCTCCTCCAGGGAAACCCTTGCGCCGGATGGCAGTGCAGTCGGCACGGCTCATTCTGCGTCTCCCTCCAGACAGTGTAGCGCTCTGTCTGGTGTCGGGGCCACTGCTGCGCTGGGCCTCAAACCCGATGGGCGGCTCTGTTCTCTCGCTGGTGGCCACCGCCACCATCTGCTCGGTCCCCGCCGCCGTGCTGTGAGCTGGCCGGGGCGCACGTGCAGCCTGGACCTGCCTCGGGGTGTGAGGCCCTGGGAGCCCCGGCGGGAGCCGAACTCTCCGGAAGGCGGTGCAGGCGGCGCGTGTATTTGTGATTCCTGCACAAACTCTCCGTGGTGCAAAGACCAGGGGCATCAGCTGGATTCGTCACTGATTGGTAAAGATGAGCTTTTTGCAGCTTCTGGAAATGTTTAGCAGCAACATTTGGAACTAATTTCGAAATATATTGAGCAAAACCATTTTTGATGAGCGTATTGTTTGTGACTGAAACACCGACGACTTAATCTGAAAAAGCACGGTTTTGGTGTCTGGGCTTTACAGATGCGTCGCTGATGCGTCTGTCTGTGTTTTTACCCACTCGCCGCAGATGGGTAGATGTGGGAGAGCCCGCAGTGTCCGTGGTGCCTTTGGTGCGGGGTGTCTTGCTTACAGACCAGTTCTTCTGTGTCGCAGAAGCTGAAGTGCTTTCCCGAGCACCTTGTCTTACCTCAGACATTGCTCCGAAGGCAGCGCCGAGTGTCCGCTGCTCAGGATCCCTCCCCACAAGGGGTGCTGCGGGGTGCTGGGTTGGGCAAAGTCCTTGAAGGACCAGCAGGGGCGTGCCCGGGACAGGAGGGGGGGTGCCTACAGGCAGGGGCCTTTACTGCAGTGTTCGTTACGCTGTGGTGGGGGAGACGTGATGACCTTGGCCCACCCGCCGCCCCGCAGAGCAGGGGACTGCCTGACCGCGGCCGTTCGAGCCCTTCGTCTGGTACAGGAATCGCATGGTTCTTCCACTTTGACTTTTTGGCATTTTGAGTGGTGTTTGCTCTTCAGTACAGGTTATTTTTTTTGTAGTCACATTTTCCCACCTTTTTGTTTATGATTTCCGGGTGGGTTTCCTGCACTCTGTGCGCCTGGGAAATCGTCGGTGTAGGAAGGGGGGATGCAGGGACCCAGCACCCCTGCCGCCGAGTGGGCACACGTGTAGGAAGGCTGACCTCCGCGTCCAAACCCGTTCCGCCCCCCTCCCCCGAGCCTGGCTTTTTACTGTGAAACGGAAGCAACGTGGCACTTTCTAGGATTCTCCGTGGGGTTTGCCAGTTTTCGAAGCAGAAAATTGCAAGCCCTGCATTTGGTGTTCCGCTTTGTAGATTCCAATTTCGTGACAAACAAAACAACTAGAATAATAAAGCTGTTTTCATGGCTCCTCTGGTTTTTGTATTTTTGTTGGCTTGCCGGGAGAGGGAAGATGTCTGGGGGGCAGCGTGTCTGGAGGGGCAGGGACCTGCAGCCCCATGTCCTGCCGGTGGCTCATGTCGGTCAGCGTGAACAGGGGTGACGGCGACGAGGAAGACGGGCTCCTGTGAGCCTGCAGCGCCAGCGCCGCGCATCTCGGATGTGTGCTGTCTGGGGGTCGGTGTCTGGAACAGGAGCAGGGCCGGGCAGCCCGCGGAGCGTGGAGCCCCCGCTCCTGCCGAGTGCTCTCCTGAGAGGAGATGGAGTGGTTCTCGGACCAGCGCAAGGTGCTGTGTCAGCCTCGGCGCAGGTGGGCTGTTTGCCAAGCAGTAGGGCGGACCCTGCCCTTGACTGAAGATCATGTGGTTGTCAGCCTCGGTTCTCCAGCTTTCTTAATCTGACCCCAGGTCTCCCGCATGCTGGCGCTGTGCCCAGTTAAACTTGCCAGATTGAATCTGGTTTATGGTGCAGCGTGGTCCCCGTCCCTGTGGCTCAGCGGCTCAAGGTGCCCGTGGTGCAGTGAGCTCCTGTCCCTTTGGTGCTGCGTGGTCCCGTCCCCGTGGCACAACGTGGTCCCTGTCCCCGAGGCACAGCGGCTTGAGGTGCCTGTGGTGCAGCGAGTTCCATTCCCTCTGGTGCCACGTGGTCCCCATCCCTGTGGCGTGGCGTGCTCCTGTCCCCGTGGCGCAGCCGCTTGAGGTGCCCATGGTGCAGTGAGCTCCCGTCCCTGTGGCACAACGTGGTTCCCCGTCCCCGTGGCTCAGCGGGCTGATGGCCCTCACGGTGCCACATGCCCAGGGTCCCTGTATTTCGGCAGCCAATTCCTGGTGTGAAGCTTCCTTCGAGTCTGACAAAGTGAACTGTCCAGAGGTCTGTAAAGCCAGTACCACAGACGTAAGTAGGCGCTTGTTGGAAAGTGGGTCAGTGCCCACTGCTAAATGTGAGCAGCATGAGGTTCCAAATAAGTATACATACCGATGGAGGGATTAAGGAGCTACCCCAGAAAACCACAGGCCCAGAAAGCCGCAAGGGAGTTCTATCAAACTTCAAAGACCAGACTGTCCTAGTGTGTCATCGAATAGTGCAGGGCTGAAGAGGAAGGAAACTTCTTAATCCTTGTTATGAAGCAAGTGTGTAGGATACGTAAGCCAGGGAATGACAGTCTGAAGGAAAACTGTATCCGTGACATCAGTGATGGAGATTGATTCAAACATACTAAATATTAGCAGCCAGAGGCCAGCACCACATAAAAATAATACGCCATGACTGAATGGGATTTATTCTAAGAACATAGGTTTGTTTGATATTAGGAAATCCCTACATATTTTAACGTACCTGAGGAAAAAAACTTACAAAGTGTATGAATAAGATAAATATCTTCATAGATAGTAGTCTTTAACAAAATTCAATATCATCTGTAAAATTGCTTCCATAAAAATCCAAAAAAAACCCAGTTCTCCACTCCATAAAAATACTTTGGAAAACAGGAATTGAATCACGCTTTATAAACAGATCGTGGTGAAATACGTATGTGATCTGGCACTTTAGCCACGGGTTTAAGTGTACAGTTCAGTGGTGCTGTGTATGTTCACAGTGTAGTGCAGCCTGCCAGAGGGTCCGTCTGGGGCCCGATGAGATGTGTACGCTTTTGTCCAAAAGCTGGTGTCTTCCTGCTGAAGGGACCTTTCCACCGAGGTGAGGAATGGGGTGAGAGCGCCCACCCACTCTGCCCAGATGCGCCCTGGCAGTACTAGCTAGTGCAGCTGCTGCCCGGGCCTCACAGCCGGCGAAGACGACGTAAAACCGCGTGTGTTTGCAGAGGAGACGGTGATCTATCTGGAAAACCCCAGAGAACCAATGGTCAGACTCCTCACAATTCAATTAAGTAGCTAGGTACAAAATTAACATAAAAATAGCCTTTTATACACATGAGCAGTAAACAGAAGACACAACAGAGAAGAATCCCTTTTACGACAGCAACAAGGAAGAGGTTGCTGAGAAAATCAGGAAGTGTGCAGGCCTCTATGATGGGAGTCTGAAAACAGCCATGAAAGATCCACAAGTAGCCTTGGACACGTGGAGGGGCCTCTCTGCTCTTGGACAGGATGGCTACACCGTACAGATATGCCCACTGTATAGACTTAAAGTCGTCCCCATGAAAACGTTAGCTGTTTATGGAGTTGGCAAGTTGGTGGTGAAGTTCACGTGGAAAATGAAACCTGCAGAAATAGCCAGGGAGACGAGAGAGACCGTGAGGGGGACCAGCCCTCTGCACTAGCACGCCAGGCCGGGGGTGTGCAGCTGCGGGGGGCCCGGGCCCGAGTGTGGACGGCCCACCAGGGGGTGTGCAGCTGCGGGGGTCCCGGGCCCGAGTGTGGACATCCTGGAGGAGGGGACAGAGCGTGCAGGCAGCCCCTAGTGTGTGTGGACGCACGTGTACGACCAGGTGGTGTGTCAGATCGCTGGGTACGGAGGGTTGTTTTATAACTAGGTTGTCCTTCGGAAAAAGATAAAGTTAGATTCGATCTCACTCCCTGCAAGAATGAGACCCAAATTGTTAGGAAGTGAAGAAACGAAACCACACCATGGAGTTTGTCAACCAGCGCAGGGAAAGTCTAATGATGACTCAGAATTCAGAGGCGATAAGAGAAAAGGATTGAGAAATTTGACGACGCACAAAGGAAGATTTTTTTTTGGCATGGCAGAAGAGACTAGAAACAAAGTAAATACTGACAAAGTGGGAAGAATACTTGCTGCACCTGCCTTCACAAGCCATCTCTTCACAATATCCCTGGCTTCTAAAGAGCTGTTAGAAGAAGCAAGAGACAGGACCCCAAGCCAGGTGAAGTGGGAAGAGGGCACGAAGAAATAATTCACCGAAACAATACAGTAATGACTTTCAGACATGGAGAAAGACCCAGGCTCCCTCGTATCTAGGGAACTGCAGATGGAAATGGCAACGACATACCGTTTGTCACCGGATTCCCACCACGAACATGCGTGCGTGTGCACGGGCCCTCTCTCATGTCGCTGGCGGGGACGCAGGGCCGCACGCCTCTGGAGGGAGGACTCGCAGTACCTGAGAAACTGCTTCTGGGGGTCTTCCCTGCAGGGGCTGGGAGCCGTGTGAACACACACCCATGAGGTGTGAGCACGACTTGGCATCGGGGTGCTGGGGACGGTGGTGAGGTGGACCGTGGTGTGTGCCCACTATGGACGGGCGCAGCTTTAACGGGGGCAGGCGTCTCCGTGAACCCACAGAGGGACCGCCGGGGTACCTTACGTGTCACGTGTAAGAAGGATGGCGGTAGAAGAAGGTGGACAGCGTCAACGGGTTTGTGCAAAAGAAGTATAGGGGCATGGACGGGAGACTGAAGGAGGCAGCAGGCACCAGCAGGGGTGGGAGGGAGGGGAGAGATGGAGGAGCGGGAGGAAGGCAAACCATGGAAGGCGGCNGGCGGGGACACAGCCACCCAGAGAAGGCGGCCGGGGGAGGGGGGGGCGGGGGGGGGTTGCCGTGCCAGCGGATGCTGAGTCTGAAGGCGATGGGGAAGGAAAGAAGCAACGTGAGTCCCCGTGAAACGGTATTTAGACTGGATGCTGTAATTGAAGGGCAAAGAGGACCAGCTGGAGATACTGTACCAAACTGAAGGTCAGTTTGTTTTGCACGGGGATCTGGGAAGCAGTCCTGAAGCCGTGTGCACACTAGGCGGGAACACACTTGTGAGCACACAGTGGACTAATCAGATTTCTCACTGGTGGAGCAAGAAGTTACAAGTAGGGAGGAGCAGGGCGGGAGGGGTGGGTGGCCTTGAATTGGACCCAGGAATCGGTGTGATCTGTGGTTGTAAGCCTCGCGTACACAGAGACAGACACAAATATGGAAGTGTGTGTGTGCCGGGGTTAGGGTACAGACGTGTGGGCTCTCACTGTTTGCTCGGGCACACAGACACCCCATTTGCACGGGCACCCCCTCCCAGCACCCAGATCTTGGGTTTCAAGCACCGTTTTCCAGTATAGGAAAGCAGGGACCCTTGGAGAGCTGGCTGGCCCGGGACCGGGGCAGGGAGAGCACGAGCCAGAAGGGAAGGGTGCTGGGAAGAGACGGGCGCTAGTTGAGAGCGCCCAGGAGCCGCCCAGAAGGAGCTGGGGCGCTTCGAAGATGGTGCACTGAGGGAGAATCGGGTTGCAAGCCAAGCGTCAAGGAAGCATCTGCGAATCCCTGCCCATGTAAAGCCCTCAGATGCAGAAACTCCGGGTACAAAAAGGGCAGCTGTTCCCGATGGAAGAGCCCCAGATAAATGCACAGGGACCGCAGAGACCCCAGACCACCCCGGGCTGCCACAGTGAGCATGGCTGCCGGCGGCTGATGGGCGCCGAGGGCAGAAGTGTGAGGAGCGACAGGGTGTCCGTTGAGTACGGGGAAAACCCCGCGGACACCGCCCCAGCCCGTGACCGAGGTCAGCCTCCCCAGTGTGACGCAGACCCCGTGTACCACATCTTTATTTTTTAAGACTATTTATTGAAGTAATCCCCACATCCAACATGGAGCTCGAACTCACGACCCTGAGATCAAGAGTCGCACGCACCACCCACTGGGCCAGCCACGCGCCCGAGGGGAACACTTTTTTAAAGGTGGGACGTGCTTGGTCTGTTTGTGGGACTGAACAGGCAGAGGGGGAGCAATTGGTAAGGGTGGGGGGTCCCGCGGAGGGGGGTCTGGGAGGGTGAGAGGCCTTGCCTGCCTCCGCGGGGTTGGCAGTGCTCTGGGATGGGGTAAGTTTATGTGCAGAGGATGGAGAGGTCTAAGACGCTGTGGCTGTGGGCTGACAGACGTGACGCCATCTGATGAGGACGGACAGCGTTCCCCTCCCCCCGAGGCGTTCCTGGGCTCCTGACGGTGCCTCCCCCGAACCGCACTTGGACCAGGGGCCCACACCCTGGGGTTCCTTCCTCGGAATTTTCCAAGTCCTTCCGTCACTTGGGAATTGGTGTGTGCGAGTGCGCCTGCGCCCAGCCTCTGCCGGCACTTCTGGGATCCAACGCCGTCCTGCCTCGTGAACAGCACCTAAATGTGGTGGCGTGGGGGCTGTCCTCTGACCCACGGCCGTCTCCAGGACTGTTACCCCATCTCCTGCGCAGACTCCATGTGCTTGTCAGGTGTTCGTGGGGGTGGCCGCACCCATCTCCACCCAGGGCTCTGAGACACTTGCTCTCACGCCAGTGACCTTTGTCCTTTCCAGCCTCTGATCAGGTGCTGCTGTCACACCCTGTGGGAAAAGAGACGGACCCCCCATATTCCAGTGGGACGTCCCTTCTCGCTCCACGCCCTGTCCCGTCCCCTTTGCTGTCCCCCGTCCTGGCCCCTGACTGGCAACGTGGAGGGCACCGGTGTGGGCAGCATTGAGAGTCCTGGCATCGCAGTGATCAGCTGCGGAGCCAGGAGCAGACGCGGCTGGAGGTCACTTCCTGCAGAAGATTCTCAGCAGTGAGTCCCACACAACCAGGCAGTTGTGAATTATCATTCACATCTGCACCTGTGGCCCCGTCTGCTAAGCATGTGGGAGCCCTGGGAGCCGGAATCTGTGGCGGTGGGATGGACGGCACAGCGTCCGGGCCCACGTGGGCCAGCATGGAAGAGGCAGCCTTGGGGCGCTCAGAGGCTCTGACTTGTGTCGGTGCAGACAGGCTCCCAAGAGTCGTACACGGTGAGTGACAACTGAGCTGTCACCCCGGCCTTGCAGCGCGCGAGGGGGATCTGAGGTAGCATGTGCACTGGTGAGGGGCAAGGGGGGGGCAGGGGGCGAGGGGGTGGGGGGCGAGGGGGCGAGGCCGCTCTTGTGGGTCAGGGAACCCATCTGCCCTGTGTTCTATGTCTTTCCTGATACAAGCCAAGGTGCCTGTTTTGGGCCTGTACATTTTATAGTATGTGTATATATATATATTTTTTTTTAATTTTCTTTTTTTTAATGTTTTATTTCAGAGAGAGAGAGAGAGAGAGAGACAGCATGAACAGAGGAGGGTCAGAGAGAGAGGGAGACACAGAATCTGAAGCAGCTCCAGGCTCTGAGCTGTCAGCACAGAGTCCAACGCGGGGCTTGAATCCACGAACCGTGAGATCATGACCTGAGCTGAAGTCGGACCCTTAACCGACAGAGCCCCCCAGATGCCCCTGTTTGTGCTTTTTATTTATTTATTTATTAAAAACAATTTTTTTTAATGTTTTATTTATTTCTAGGAGAGAGAGACGCGTGAGCAGGGGAGGGTCAGAGAGAGAGGGAGTCACAGACTGAAACAGGCTCCAGGCTCTGAGCTGGCAGTCAGCACAGAGCCCGACGCGGGGCTCGAACCCACGAACCGCGAGATCATGACCTAAGCAAAAGTGGGACGCTTAACCGACTAAGCCACCCAGGTGCCCCTGTTTGTGCTTTTTAAACCACTGTTCTGAAGCAGGGTTTGATCAGAAATGCACGTCCGTAGTAGGAAGATGAGAAAATACAGTGATGTTGAGAGGTGTCGGTCAGTTCCAGGCTGCTTGACAGAACCCCACAAACCCAGCCTGGGCTCACGAGCAACACACATTTGTGCCTCGCACTTGTGGAGGCTGGAAGTCCAAGTTGAAGGTGGCAGCTGTGCTGTCTGGGGAGGCCTCTTCCTGCTTCATAGGAAGGCTGCGTCTCCTCGCCGGGTCCTCACATGGGGGCAGGGGCGAGGGCTCCCTTTTGTAAGGGCACCTCTCATGACCTAATCCCCTAAAGGCCCCACCCCCCACTGCCATCATCTCAGAGGTCAGGTCCCGGCATGTGAATTTAGGGGGGATGCAGACACTCAGACTGTAACAAAATGCGTAGCCCAAGTAGTTTATTGTGATCGTGGGTCGTGGTGGAGCTCACTCTGCTACTGTCCCCTCGGCACAGCGGGGTAATGAGCGTGCCCACCCCCTAAGGAAGGAGGTGCGGATCGGGCGGCCCCGTCTGAAAATCATGTGCGGCAGGATCGACGTGTATCCGCCTGCGTCTGGCTGAGAGCAGTGCTGGGCACATAATAAGCCCTTAGTAAACGTTAGCCTGTTAGATACCAAGTGAGAAAAACGTATGTTGTATACGTGGCTAGTTTTAGGATTGTAAACTGTAGAACGCTGTATTAAATCCTTGAAGAAATAATTACCAAGCTCTGACTCTGCCCCAGGCTCCGAGGGTCCCGAGCTGATCCGGAATACTAGCTTTTAAGAATTATCATTGAAGTTCTTTTAAGCCAGCTCTTAATCTGCACGTACTGAGGGAGGTGAAATTTAGGTTATAATGAATTGCTGGGGGGCCACGGACACACAGCATCGGGACCCCATTCCGTCCTCGCCCTGTGACTTCCTCTGACCTCTTACAGAGCACACAGGCTGGGGGGCTGGGCGGAAGGAGGCCCAGGTGACCGCAGGTAGCTTGCGGACAGGTGGGCGAGGCCGGTGGTCCAGAGCTCGCAATGTCGTTTAGTTTCTGTAGACCACGTGGCGGCATGGGCGGGAACGCTCCCATGGGCGCGGTGGCCCTGCGTCTGGGCTGGTCGTGCCGGTTGGTACCAGCCACCCGAGCCGTCGGTGCATCCCGCCTCCTGTGCACCGTCTGCCTGTCCCCCTCTAATCGCAGAGGCGGCCGGCACCCAAGGATGTCTCCGCTGGACGCAGCGAGGCAGTGGGCAGCGAGGCTGGCTCTGGGCACCTCTGTGGGCATCCCACGGGACGTGCCTGCTGCTTCGGGCCCAGCGCGCGGGCCAAGTGCACTTGGCTTCTAGTTCAGGACGGCTCCTACCAATCGAGCCCTGCTCACCAGCATTTTCTAAGTTTTCGGCTTCTAACCTGGACAAGGTCGTTTGCCGGCCCGGTGGGGAGACTGCCAGCCAGCGTGCACAGCCGGGGAGTGTCCCGGCGCGTGGCTTTGTGTGGGAGCGCTGCAGCCGGGCTTCCCGCCGCCCTGACTGCGTGCGTCCTCTGCTCCCGAGCCAGGAGACGGGGCGGCAGCAGCTCGCGGAAGCCCCCTCCCCAGAACCCCCACACCCTGGTGGCCAAACCCTGCTTGCTAACACCATGTGCTGGTTTTGCTTGTGTTTGAACTTGGCACATGTAGAATCACTCTGTCTGTTCCTTTCTGCGCCCGCTTCTCTGTTTGATGTCAGGTGAGGGTCCTCCATGGTGCGGCGCCGGCGCCGGGCCTTAGGGTTTACGTCGTTCCTATGCGCCGCTGTGATGGTTCACACTTGATGCGCCGTGTGTGTTGATGGCAGTGCGTGCCTGTCCGAGCGGGAGGGCTCAGTCACAGCACGGATGAGTGAGGCAATCAGTGATTGGAGGGTCCGGAAAATGACTTTCAGGTGTGAATGTGTTGGAGCCCGTGTTTATTAGCTCGTAAGTCTTACTTCACGTTGGTGGATTTTGCGTGTCCCTCTGACGGGCACAGGGCACGTCTGTCCGTCCTTCGTCACAGTGGTTCCCATCATGGGGACCAGGGCAGGATGGAGCGCCCAGCTGTGAGGGGTAACTCTTCTGGGTTTATCTTTTTATTTATTTTATTAAAAACATTTTTTAATGTTTGTTTATGTTTGAGAGAGAGAGGAAAGACAGAGCATGAGCAGGGCACGGGCAGAGAGGGAGGGAGACACAGAATCCTAAGCAGCTCAAGGCTCCAGGCTGTCAGCACAGGGCCCAGCAAAGGGCTCGAACCCATGAGCTTTGAGATCATGATCTGAGCCCAGGTCAGATGCTTAACCAACTGAGCCCCCCGTGCGCCCCGTAACTCCTCTGATTTTAAAAACAGTTTCCCCTCTGAGACCTTGGATTTGGGGGAGAGTGGTTCTGAAGACTCGGAGGGCTGTTTCCATGGAGATGGGAAGGAAAGTGTTCCCTGAGCGCTGCTGACCGGCTGAGCGCCGCGGGCCATCTTGCTGGGTTTCTACGACCAGCATCCTCGTCCCGTTTGCAGATCGGGAGCCGGGGCTCGGTGACTCGCCCCCGTGGAGGGGTGGAGGAGGGCGGGCGGCTGCGGCAGGTGCCCCAGCCGGGGCTGAACTGATTTGACCGCCTCCAGAGTCCAGCCCTGCCCGTGTGCCGGGTAGTCATCTCCTTGAAACAAGGCATGGTTTTCTTGGTCTCTATCTCCCTGAGCCTCGTTCACTTCTGAGGAGTACGTGGGAAGGTTCCAGAAGGTGGTGGAGTGGGAAGCACCAGGAACCTGTCTCCCTACCTGGGCAGCTGTTGCCCTGGCATGATCTGACATCCCCCTTGGGGACCCTGGAGTTGACCCTGGAGTCAACTTCCAGGTAAGGGCTTGGACGGCTAAGAGTTCTGGTCACTTCTCGCTCTTGGCACGGCGGCAACTGTCCCCAGCCACGTGGCAGGCTGCCGTGAACCTGGTCCTGGAGCGGGGGGGGGACGTGGGGGGGGCAGGACTCTGTCCTCCAAATACTGGGGCTCTGTGCTCTTACTGCGGATTGCCACTGCTGGTCACAGAGGTGCAGAGAAGGGAGAAGAGGGCAGCCGGTGCCCTCACCCCTGCCCTGCTGTACAGGCCCCTCTCTGCAGCCCAAACAGCCTCCAGCGCGTTTCAAGGGCCCTCAGTCCTTATTTTCTCAAACCCTTCGTTTTTCACTTTTTCCCTCCTTTCAGGAGCCAGAAATTACAGACTTGGATATTCAAAAGCTGCATAAATAGGAAAATTAGAAAGTGCCTGTGTATGTCCAGGGGGGGCTCAGAAAAGACCTGAGAAGATTTTAAATTTATGCCTCAGGTCGATCCTTGGTACAGAGACGGCCTACATCAATCAGAAAAGCAAAACCAAAAAATCAGTAATAAAACTATAACAAAATCAATAGAGCAAACCCAGGGGAAAGTGGGGGCAGGGGATGGCGGGGGAGAATCTGATTTTCAGAGTTGCCGCATTGTTAGATTCAAATGTCCAGTTTTCAAAAAAAAAAAATCACCAGAAATAAACAGTAAAGTGTGGCCTGTTCAAAGGGAAAAAATAAATCAACAGAAAACTATCCCTGAAAAGATTTGGCGGCAGATCCATTAGATAAAGACTTTAAGACAATAGTTTTATTTATTTATTTAAATTTTTTTTTAGTTTATTTATTTTTGAGAGAGAGAGAGAGCACAAGCAGGGGAGGGGCAGAGAAAGAAGGGGACACAGAATCTGAAGCAGCTCCAGGCTCTGAGCTGTCAGCACAGAGCCCGACGTGGGGCTCGAACCCACGAACCGCGAGATCATGACCTGAGCCAAACTCGCACTTTTAACCGACTGAGCCACCCAGACGCCCCAAGACAATAGTTTTAAACATGCTTAAAAAAAACTAAAGGGGGATGTAGAGAGAGTCAAGAAAATAGAAGTGCTGACAAAACGGAAATACCAAGGGAGAGAGAAACCAAAAAGAAATTCTGGATCTTGGGGCTCCTGGGTGGCTCAGTCGGTTGAGTCCGAGGAACAGAAGGAAAAACAATGGAAGAAAAGTGAACAGAGCCTAAAGGGCATGGGCAACATGTTGTATAAAATACAAAGCAAATTCAGCAGCATAGTAAGGGGATTATACACCATGACCAAGTGGGCTTTATTCCTGGGGTACAAGACGGTGTAACATGAAAATTAATCAGTGTGATAAACCTTTGGATGAAGGAAGAAGGCCCACATGATTATATCAGTGTGGAAAAAGTATGTGACAAAATTCAACACCCTTTTCTAATAAAAGACTCAATAAACCAGGTTCAGAAGGGAACTCCCTCAACAAAATAAAGACCATCTATGGAAAGCCCACAGTGAACATCATACTCAATGGGGGAGAGACTGAGAGCTTTTCCTCGAAGACCAGGAACAGGCAAGGAGGCCTCTGCTTTAGCCACTTTTATTCAACCAGTTCTAGAGGTTTCAGCTAGAGCAGTTAGGCAAGAAAAAGAAATAAAAAGCATTGGAATAAAAAAAATTGGAAAAGAAGAGAAATAATCTCAATTCACAGATGTGAGGTCTTCTTATACGTAGGAAACCT